CACAAAATTTACATCCAGGCCGGCGAAGTACTTACAAACCAACGACTACCTCAGAATACCTCCTGACATTGGACCAGACAACCCACACCACGAAATGGTTCAAGGAGAGCTCGAGCTTCAACGACTAGCAGAGAAACATAATACGACTACGAGGGCAGACTCATAAAGATGTGCGCAGGTCACATACGACCAGTACCGCCACAACAACACATACAATATCGACTTCAGACTCACAAGAGGCCACCAACAAGCCAGGACGCCACCACCTCCTAGCCATGCCCCTACGCCACCACCAAAAGCAAAGATGCCCACGCCAATCGCACCGCCGACTCGACCAAGTCCGCCGACCCTCCGTAACCCTTGGGGCAACAAAGGACTCGATGCAGCAGTTCGATCCCCAATAGCAGACACGTCAGGCATAGGCAGCGACACAGACAAGAGCGACGACTGCAAGGCTCCGACTAAAACATCTCCCTCGCGTCGCTACCACCACATTGCAAGCACGACATGCACTGCCCCGACGGATGGACGGCATGCAGCGCCGAAGACATCGCGGACGACGAAAACGACGACGACAGATGGCACGACGCCATCTATTACCACGCACAGACCAACAACGACAACCGTCTTTTACCAGGCTGGCACCGCTAATGGGACACATACAATAACGAGACGGTCATCCACAATGACCTACAGCAATGTCTTCCTCATCCACCCTTGATGCTCGATTCACAGGCGCCTCAGCTATCAACCTTCAAGCTACCACCGACGTATCATATCAAGTACCTGCAGCATGAACATGCTACATCAGCAAGCAACCACCTACCACCAGGGAAGCCAATTTCAACCGACTGCACACAACTACGACTCGGGAACGACACGGATGTCTTCGCAAACCACTGCCGTCCTAACGAAGACTTCAGACTTGCAGCTGCAATCCCAAAAAGATATCTCATCACATTGAAGCCACATTCTACTGCGAAGATGAACAAGGCAACCACACCGGCGACACTGGTCGTTTCTCAATGGCTCACCTCCTGCCACGACTACGATGCCAACGTGGAATACGACTGGCCAGCACGTATCCACGGCACAACACAACTACAACAACAATTTTGCAACCCTACTCCCGAGTACAACCGCGACCACGCCAGAAGATACACACCAGCAAACACGAGTTCCAGGGACGAAGACAACGTGTAAACAAGGCCACGCAACACAAGCCGAAGTCGACACAACCTACGCCTGGGACCCTCGACGGCCACTCCACCAACACCAACCACCTCGACACAACAAACAGGTCGCCACCTACCCACTAACCACAATCAATCGGACGATACCGACACACCACGTCAACCAGCGCCAGAGCGCAACACCAACACAAGCCAGCAACCATCCGATCGTGCAGTCAGAAACCAAATGCACCCACCACCACCCAGCCTCAGGATCCCAACAGTGTGCCCACCACCAGAAGACGCTATGGTGCAACAATGGCTCCACGACATACCCACTTCAGAACTGGCACCGCAGACGCACGTGACCAGACAGGTCTACTTTCAACCTCAGGCGCCGCCAACCCTACAAGATAGCCAAAAAAAGGTCCACACCACAGGCGCCAATTACTGACCATCTGGTGAGAATCTTCGTATACAGCAACAATGGCCCACGCTTCCTGGACTACATAGCAGCAGTACAATGCCACCAGACACACTGCCGAATATACCTAGCAGAAGTACAACAGCGTAATCTTCAAGATCGGGGCTTCTGCACCATCAAGCAATACATTCTGATCAAGCACCTGCAACATACAAGGCACCGCCGGTGACAAAGCCGACTCCACCTACGAGATACTGGACGGACTTCTACCCCAACAGCTACAGTGGCAACATTATTTTGGTACTTACACTGGCAATGCCATTCAAGATTCCCACGACAACTGCCTTCTGCTCTTCAATTGCCGCGGAAGGCCAATGACTGAGGACTCATGTTCTTCCCTTCAATGCTACACAATACCAGGGCTTCTCCTGCTGTCGTCATTGTCTTCCTTCTTCTACTTACCTTCCCACTCTCGCTGTCGCTGGACCTTTCGCCCAAATCTTACCGTGCCTCACGATTTGTGGGGACGCCTCTCCGGGGCCGTGCCCCTCTGTCTGCTGGGGTCAGCAGATGCCCTGTACCCCCGCTTGCGGAGTCATAGGACATATGTCTTCTCCTCTTTCGGTGGGTTACCTCCCCTGCTCCCTCTCTTCTCTCCCGTCGTTGCTGCTTGCGCCTGGGCCACCAATGTATCTTTTTTTAGATTGCGGTGCTACACCCAGTCTTGCTCACCGTCTGCTCCTTCTTACCTCACTTTCTTACATCACTTCGGCCTCACCCCCCCCATCATTCAAGCTGAGCTTTGCTTCTTGTCACAGGCCTGGCAGCGTCGCCCCACAGGAATTGCATAATGAATGGAGGTTGCGGCCGTGGGGTGTTCATGTTAGGAATGGGGGTGGGAGTTGTGTCATGCGGTTGCCTATTGGGACAGAAGTGCTCAACAAATTTCCGGGCCTTCCTATACAGGGTGTGGCCGCAGACTTTCAAACGCTTAGTTCGCAATCGCAGTTAATTTTTTGTAAGCCCAAGTACCTTTCCTCTCACTTGTTACACTCAGTCACAATTGCCGCCCGCTTCGAGCGGAGAATTGCTACGTGCCTCGGCAGAGGAGGCACTTTGCCACCCGCTGTGGTTTGTCCTGTGCGTCTTACTGCCCCCTCTCTCTTCCAGTTCTGGCCTCGATACACCACAAGCTATATCTTTGTGGTGTATGGGGAGGGGGTGGTGGCGGTGGATCCTCTTATCTGCTACGGTCAGTCACAGTTGCCGCCCGCTCCGAGAGGGGAGCTGCTACGCACCTCGGGAGAAGAAGCATTTTGCCACCTGCTGTAGTCTGCCCTGTGCGTCTTACTCCCCACTCTATCTTCCGTTCTGGTCAAACGCCATACCTGTAGATCTAAGCTACAGGCTAGCCTGATCCAGTGCAAGCCTTACACGTCAGTCCCACACTATCGTTACCTGTTTGCTCTGCGCCACGTCTTTGCTTCATTCTGATCAGGGGAGGGATGGAGTGGAGCATGTTGAAGAAAGTGGTGGTGTTTGGGGCTGACCTGTGCACTGCACAGTTGACGATACGTCTTCACTTCGCGCAGCTGGAAGCTACGCCAGCCTCAGCATGCTCAGACTACAACACGAACATAAACATATGCACTTTGCACTCGCTGTTGTTCTTCTCCCCTCAACCTTTGGCTGCAGCCTAGTTGCGCTCGCCCATGTTACTCTTAAGTTGCCCATCCCAGCCTGTCTCTGTTACTAACAAGTGGTGGTTCAAGACGGATTCAGGTGGTGGTGGAGGTGGAGAAGACCATGGCAGTGGCAACTCTAACGCCATGGCTATTTCGCGCATATGGAAGCTACGCAAAACGTAAGCCTGCTCAATTTACTACCACACGGATTGCACTTCCATCTTGCACTTTATCTTCGTAGTTGTTCTTCGCCCCTCCACCTTCGGCTTTAGTCAAGTAGTACTTCTCATCAAAATACGGAGATTCCCCACCCGTCCTTTTACACAAAACTCTCATATATGTCATCCGCATGTGGTGACCTTGCAGACAACACAATTCTGAGAACACGCCGGCGTGAGACACACAACAACGCACTTTACATATCCGTGCCGTCAATACAAGTGCTTGCGGCCCGCCAAAAACCAGGGCGGGTAGGTCGTGCACCAGTTCAGACAGGGAGGGAAGCTTGAGCGAAACGTATACGGACTCTGTGTATTCATCTCCTGCACGTTCTGAGGACAAGTTGGAGATTCCCCACCCGTCCTTTTACACAGAACTCTCATATATGTCATCCGCATGTGGTGACCTTGCAGACAGCACAATTCTGAGAACACGACGGCGTGAGACACACAACAACGCACTTTACATATCCGTGCCGACATTCGAGGCACCAAAAGTCGCTATCGGTTCTCTGCCGTCAGCGCGGCTCGGGGTCTTTCACACGGAAGGGGTACAGGCGGATGGTTTGCCGAAAGACTCGATCGAATGCAGCATATTGAAACACATCGGCCATTCGATTCGCAAGCACGTGAGGGTAAGCTGCGGCGCGAGCGGTCCAGTGAATGCCCAGGCCGTCTCGGCCCTGGAGACTCTGGTGTTTCTTTCCAGAGAACGAGCAGATGCCACGGACAGCTTTACAACGCTTACACAATTCGTCGGCTCTCGGCAGCAGGAAGCATCTCAGCCTAGTGGGTTTACACCACGGCGTGCCCCAACCGCAATAGTTAGTTATAATATCGCGGACCCCGGGCCAGCGAAAAATCTGAACGGCAGCATCCATTTTCCACGTGTAGGATGACTGAGGATTCTCCCACAAAAAAGGAACCCGCATCTGTTTACAGCACTTAAAGATCTTACAGGACACCTGAAACAGTTTGTTGCCCTCGTCTACCAGGCATTGCAGGTGAGGAGGGAGCGAGGGGAGGCCAGAGGGAGCTTGCGACGATCTAGTTGCATTATGGCCTCCTCGGGCAATGGAGAACGATTTGCATGGCACACCAGCTAGCACACCGAGACATCTGTCGGACTTGATCATCCGCAGGATGCGCTTCAAGACGGCGGGCCTCAGGAGGTCACCTTGGGGCCCTTGTAGCACATCAAATGAGTACACTCTGAAACCACGACGGCGCAGCGAATTCGAGAAATGTTCCGAGCCCGAGAAGATTTCAATGTAGAAATACTCGTGTCTCTTGGCGCGGGGATCGCTCAAGCGTTGACGGATAGCGAGGCGGCGCCGAGCAGCGAGGGCAGCTCGGCCTCGGCCTGGAGGCAGTAGGTCTTGGCCGAGGGCTCCATCTCGCTCTACACCGCCTGGATGAGCCTGCGCTTCTCGTAGCGCCTGACCGAGCTCGGCTGGCGCCACCTGCCGCGCCGCTGGACCTCCTGCAACGAGATGAGATCCTCCCCGTGAAGCGGTCGATGGACGCGCCGCTGTGCCGGGCCGTGTAGAGCACGGGCAGCTGCTTGTCCAAGCCCAGCGCGCGCGTCGCGCGCTCGAACACGTCCTTGGCCTCCGTCATGGCGAACGTCCACAGGGAGGCGCTGGGCGGGCCCTGGGCTAGCCGAACCAGAAGGCTGCCCAGCCATGGACGTGCCACGTCCACTGTCTCGTCCATCTCGCCAGTCTTGCTCGGTCTCTTCATGTAGTCGGGGTTGATGTGGATCGTCACCTCGGGCATGTGCGCCTGCGGCGGGATCACCTGGCCGCAGGTCAGGCGGAACGCCTCGCCATGCCTCAGGTACGTGTCCACCATCAGGAGCCAGAACACCGCGAGGTCGGGGCGGCAGCTGATCCGCCAGATCTGGCGCGCCACGCCCATGCAAGCCGCCCAGGGCAGCGGGCGCCGCGTCCGCGACGGCCGCAGCAGGCGCCAACCTCGCAGCGCGCGGTAGGCGCGCGGCAGGGCCAGCTTCCCCTTGCTCTGGTAGTCGGGCACGTGCATGAAGATGGCGGCGAGCAGCTTCTCGCCCATCGACGCGACCTTCCCCTCGAGGTACAGCTCGTCGAAGAACCTCACCACGGCGGCGTCCGTGTCGGCAGCAGGCGCAGCCAGAGATGTCAGGCGACTGCGACTGAGGAACAGCTCGAGCAGCCGCGTGTACTGCAGTCGGCTCCGCCGTCCCACCGCGGCAGCCTCGGTGATAGAGAGCTGGCGGGTGGTGTCCCGCGCCTGCTCCCCAGCGTCCAGGCGGCGCTGCACAGAGCGCGGCAGCTCCCGCAGGGGGATGCTGCGCGGGGCCGCCAGCACCACCGACGGGCGTCGAATCAGAGCCTCGCGGCGGCGCAGGGCGGGCGAGCCCAGGGGGCGGCCCGAGCTGCGACGCGCCGGCGTCCGAGCCGCCGAGGGCCGCAGAGGGGCCTGCGCTGTCGGGCCGCTCCCAGGCGCGCTGCGCTTCAGCCGCCTGGTCGGCGGCGGCGCCGCGAGGCCGCGGGGCCGCAGCGGGCGCGCGGCTGCCGGCGGCGGGGCTGATTTTCTCCGGCCGCAAGGGTCCTTACAGAAAAGATGGAGAGCTTCAGCTTCGCCTGCGAGGCGGCCGAGTCCCGGCGGGCCCGCGGGGGCCGCGGGCCAGCCGCTGCCGAGCCGACTGTCGCCCTCGGGGCCCCGCGCCGAGCCGCGGCGGTGCCGGAGCTGACGCCCGCGCGCCGCGGTAGCGCGCCAGCCGGCCCCAGATGCAGCGCGCCCTGCAGCACCCTCGCGGGAGCGGCTGTCACCGTCGGCCGCATTGAACTCGCTGGGCACCCATCGTCGATGCATGCGGGCCCCCGAGGCGAGAGTCAAGGCGGCGCCTCGCCGCAAGATATTGAGCAGAAATATATCACGACAACGTCCTTTAGATAGTGCAAGTGTGAGTGCTAGATTGTCCCCCAAGACGAGGTGCCTCTTCCCCCAGGAGTCCGCGTCCGACAGGATCAGCTTCACGGCGTGTAAGTCACCCCTTGCCTCCTTACGATGCATGGGCTCCTTGCCGAAGAGTGGCGAATAGTGCATGGTCGACCAGCTGGTGCGGCGGATGGTGTGCGTCGATACTTCAGGGGATCTTTTGTTGGCGAGACCCTGGCGCAACAGAACAGACGGGTGCGCATCGAGCTCGGCGACCTCGGCCGCACGTGCCGCGCGGTCGCGCGGCCGCCAACCCCCGTCCGCCTCACGCGTGTGGCGGAACCGCCACCGCTCGTGCCAGCGACCAGCACTCTGCACCTCGGAAAGGTCCCACTCGCCCTCGACAGAGGCGTGGCCCGTCTCGCAGGCGTCAGTCATGACGACCTTGGTGGACCACTCGGCGTCGAGGTCCGAGACGAGCGTGACCAGCAAGCCGCGGAATATCCTGAACTCGCGCCGCGCCGACGCCCAGAGGGGCATGGCGCGCTGGTAATTCTGCTGGACGAACGAGTAGACGGCGCTGAAGCAGCTCAAGCTCTCGCGCCGGCACAGCGCGGCGAACGTGCAGTGGCCGATGACGTGCTCGACGTCGCGGCTGGTGACGCGGGGCCGGCGCTGCACCAAATAGCCGAGCCCCATGCACAGCTTCCAGAACCGCCGCGGCGCCAAGGTGGCGCGGGCAGGCGATCCCTGCAGCTGCCCGCCGAGCATGGTCATGCTCTCGGCGGCGTCGGTCTCGTCATGGACGGCCGGGCCGGAGCCCTCCAGCGCCTTGGAGGCCTCGCGCCTGACCTTGGTCACGGCCTCGCGGTCGGTGCCAGCCACGAGCACGTTGTCGACGTACACGAGTGGATGGGCTCCTCGAGCGGGCTGGGGACCGGCGCGAAGTCGACCGCCCGCCGCTCGGGCCTCAGGGCGTCGTGCTGGCCCAGCGTCCGCTCGTGAGCCTTCTGAACGAAGAAGAGTGCCCAGCTCCACCCCATGGGAACAACGGCAAGTTGTGGGTAAAGGCAGGCCCAGGGCGGGACGCGCCGCCCGTCAAGCCTGCTGATGCCGAGCTCGCCCGCGGTGACCTTCGGCAAGCAGAAGTACGACCGCAGGTAGGCCGGCAGCTTGTGTTGGTAGAACGCGTTCTGGACGTCCACCCCCGCGCAGTAGAGGGGCGTGTCCTTCGGCACCTCGAGGTCCGCGAACCCCGCGGCGGAGAACAGGCTGACCGACGGAGGAGGCTGAAACCGCTGGTTGCTACGCCTGCAGTCCAGCACCATCCTGATCCGCTCGTCCTTCTTAGCCACGAAGAAGGCGGAGACGTCCTCGGTCCTCTCTTTCCCTAAGACGAAGACGCCCCGCGAGATGCCAGACTGGATGAATTCAAGGTAGAGCGGCCTGTTCCGCTCCATCACAGGGTCCATGTACAACGTGGGCCCCCCCTCTGTCTCCACGGCCTCGTCGAAGCTCGGTGGCGGCAGCAGCAAAGCATGGTCGAGGTCCAAGAGAGAGCATCGTTCGCTTGTCCCCAGCCGATCCGCGAGCCACTGAGGCTCGTTTCCCAACTCGGGCCAGCTCGCGAGGTGCGGAGCGTAGGGCCTCAGCGGCAAGTCATTAGCCGTGTCGTAGTGCAGACACGGGCGGCCCAAAAGCTCTGAGCAGGCTTCCTGGGCCGACGTGCTCGGAGGGGCAGCCATATCACGATGCAGCCCTCGAACGCGCCGATGCAGCAGATCATCCAGATGTGAGAGGCGCCCTGGCACGACCCGCGGCGTGGCGTAGCCCCCAAGCAGGTTGAGGCACTCCACGGTGTCCCGAGTACGCTCCTCGATCAACTGGGCGCGGGAAAGGCGAGCCCGAACCGAACGGGATAGTCCAGGCGGTGGAGGCGAAGCAATCGGCGACGCAGACACGGCAAAAGGCAGCATGCCATCGCCAGGAGGTTGGACATCAGCAGGTCCACAAAACTGGCTCTCGAAATGCGGCGATCGGGTCGAGCCACCTCCCGATCGCTGACCCCAGGTCACCCCTTGTCCTTCCTGCCCGACTGGGCAGATTTCTCCTCGCGCGCCTTGCGCCTCTGCTTCTGGATATCCGTCTCCTTGGCGAGCTGGTCGGTGGCGTACTTGGCGACCCCCGGCGCCATCGCGACGCCGCGGCGGGCGCTCTGCTTCTGGCGGCCGATGTAGTGCTCGACGCCCTCGATCTTCATGCTCCCCATGGTCTCCTCGATCAGCTGGTAGGCCCGCGAGACCACCTCCATGCTGGCGAGGTTGGAGCCGTCGACCTGGTCGTAGGTGACGGCCATCTCGATGGCGAAGCCGACCAAGTCGTGGATGTGCGCGGCCGCCGAATCCTTGGTGCAGCCGCTATCCATCATCCACTTGGTGTGGCGGCCGTCGGGGGTGCCGCCGTGGTCGACGATGTAGTCGCACAGCCGCTTGAAACTGCGCTCGCCGACGGGCGGGAAGTCGTCATGCTGCTCCTGCCTCATGGACGACACCGCCTCGCGAAAGTCGCGGTGCCTACGGCCCTCCCACGTGCGCTGGAGAGGGCCGAGGAGGCGGGCGTCGTCGTCGGCTAGCTTGTCCAACACCTCGACAGGCAGCGGGACAGGGTGGAGCTCGATCGGCACGACGAAGCCGCCCGCCGTGCTGTAGAGCCCGCTCTCGCCCCAGACCACGTCACCCGCCTTCGGGACGACCTCGTCGAACTGCTGGCACTCGTCCGGGATCGTCTTCATCACAAACCATGCAGACCCAGGCGGGGCGGCCCGCTCGTCAGCGAGCACCACCGCGCCAGGGCCGCCCCTCGGGGTCGGAGTGCCCCCGACCTCGCCGTCGGCGAGCGCCCCTGGCTCAGCGCCCGCGGCGTCCAGCGGGGGCGGGGCCACAGGCGGGCCACGAGGCGGGCCGCGCGGCGCGGCAGCGGACGGGCCCTTGCCCCGCGTGCGGCGCAAGAAGCCTGGCACGTCGTTGAAGCTGACCGTCATGCTCTTGGTGGGCCGGCCGCCGTCGCGCATGAAGGCGGTCGGCTCGGACTCGCGCAAGCCGGCGTTGCGGGCGGCCAGGCGAGCGTCCCGAAAGAGGTCGATCATGTCCTCCTCGGCGGGATATTCACGAGACCTGTAGACTCGCCCCGGGGGGCGAACAGCAGCGGGACTCGCCCCCATCGTGAGGGAAACGCGGCTCGGCCCGTCGCCATCGGGCCCTGCCGCCAGGGTACACGTCGCCGTCAGGCGTGAGGCAAGTCCAGCATGTGTTGGGGAAGGCGCCAGGGCACGGCCACAACAGCAACCGTTCGTGCCATATGTTCGGGTCGTCCTCATAGTAGAAGCACACGACCCGCCCTGGCACCAGCTCATTGAAGAACTCCTCCGCCTCGGCGGCGGTCCCGTCGCTCAGGAAGAGGCTCAGGTTCGCGGGCAGGAGGGCCATCGCGGCGACGCCAGGCGGCGAGGCAAGCGCCACACTGCGTCAGCGCCGCGGTCAGCACCACCCCGAGCGCGTGCCATAGGAGCGTGTCGGGCTCCTCGGGCAGCTCGGGCGGCGCGGCCTGCAGGGCGCGGAGATCGGCCAGCTCCGCGGACAGGTTGGCCAGCGCGACCTGCACCTCGTCCAGCGCGGCGTGGCACTGGCTGAGGTTGGCCGCGTGCGCCGCGGCGAGCTGGGCCCCGCGCTCGGCAGCCCGCTGGGCAGCGAGGGCCGCCCGACTGTCCCAGTCGTCGGGCGGACCGCCTCCGCCGCCCGCGCTCATCAGGCCTGGCTGCCACGCGTCCAGAGCACACCAGATGCAGACCAGCAACCAGGATGGCGGCCGGAGAGCGAGAGGGCGCATACGTGTCAGGTGCTCCCTGAGGCGAAAAAGGCTTGAGCGAAACGTATACGGACTCTGTGTATTCATCTCCTGCACGTTCTGAGGACAAGTCAGACTAGCAGGCCTACCTTTGGGGGGATACGAAAGCCACAGTGGTGGCTACAGTGACGGGGGACCCTCCCCCTAAGAACTGAAACGGTGCATGGGCATCCCCCCGAGGAATCGAAAAGAACAAGGGTAGCAGCCCGATAATTGTCTCTTTCTTTACTCTGGGTCAGCCAAAACAGCCTGTGCCAGCCCCAACGCCATTTCGTTGCCCGCCCTGCTCACTACACGTTTTCTGTTATCTTATCACACGTAGCCTGCTCTATCCCTTCTGCTCTCACTGCCTGTATTACAACCATGGAGAGTCGGGGACGGGTTTCATCAGCTCAGTGGTGAACGAGGAGGCAGGATCCATTCGTTTCTTACGCTCTGTGGCGCCTGACTTGTTACTCTGTTCTTGCGTTGCAATGCGCGTGTATCTCGACCACCCCTCGTTGCTTCTTCCATCTGTACTTGAGAACTTACGATGATTCAACGGTTATCTTGTTGGTTGTTCTCCCTTCTCCACATCTGTGGAAAGTATCCTTACTCTAGCCCTCGGGCACTCTGTTTTTGCCATTACTCTTTACAACTTCCTGTTCCGCACGGGCCTGCCGCCTAATTTGCTCGAACCCCTGCGTTAAGTCGGTATTTGTTTCATGGTATCAGTTGACACCTGAACGCTGCGTGCTGTAGCATGAAGTCCGATCGACGTCAAACAAGGAGGAGAAGGAAAAGGAAGAGGAAGAGGAGGAGGAGGAGGAGGAGGAGGAGGAGAAGGAGATGGAGGAGAAGGAGGAGGAGGAAGAGGAGGAGGAGGAGGAGGAGGAGGAAGAAGAGGAGGAGGAGGAGACTGAGGATGAAGGAGGAGGAGGATGAAGGAGGGAGGGAGAAGGAGGATCCCTCCCGCCTCCCTCCCTCCTCCCCCCCCCGAACCGAGGCGCGGAGCCGAGGGGCAGTGACGAAGGCTCCTCAAAAGGGCCCCGTGGAATGCCTGTCCAGGCTTCGGGCACCATTTCTCCTGACGCCGAACTCTGAAATCCGACGGCGCGTAGAAAAATGAAACATCGAAACGAATCACGACTGGAGCCCTGGACCCTATCGTCATTTTTGGAGCCGGATCGATTTGTGAGGCCGGGGCCCGAAACTGGGCGAAACCGCCCGGCTCGAAAACGTTGAGACGCCAGGATCTCAAGGACACCCCCCCTCCGGCTGATCCGCGGGTTGGGGGACCCTCGCGCGGGCCCATCTCCGAAGGGAGCGGGCTCGTGACCGGTGCGCGTGAGGTGCTCACCAGACAGAGCTGGCAGCACCGGCTCCCCCGCCTCGAGATGGTGCCCAATCGAATCCTCCCCCCCTCGAGCAGAATAGCCCAGAATCGAATCGATGAGTCGGATCGGCGATCGAAGTGAATCGCATCGGCAGAACTCGGAAGCCAAGCCGGGAGAAGTCGAATCGGCAGAAATCGGCAGGCTTGTAGGCCTCCCTTAAGGAATCGGCATCCAAATCGGAATCCGAAGTCGAATCGAATCGGAATCGCAGGCCGTCGAGATCGAATCGAATCGACTCGGGGGAATCGAAATGAGCCCTCCCCCCCCCAGGGAGCCAGGCTCGCGAGCCCAGCGGCCCTCGCGCCCAGGGCGGCCATGGCGCCGCCGGCGCGCTCGCCCCCCGGGCCACGCCGCACTCGCACGCCGCGCGCGGCCGCCTCTCGTCGCCGCCGCCGCCGCCGTCGCGCCGTCGTCCTCGCCCCCGAAATTCGAAGAGGTGATGGCCACGACGACCCCGCCGCCGCCGACGATGACGACGACGACGACCTCGAAGGCCGCCAACGACGACGACGCCGACACCGACACAGACGGCGACGAATGCCGACGAGGACTGATCGGGGTCGAGTTGCTCCGAACCGAGCCGAGCTGGCCGAGCCGAGGGGCCGATCCGGGCTGGCCAGACACAGATGATTATGATCGCCGCCGTAAAACAACAAAAATTGAGGGCGGGGGGTTCTCAAGTGGCGGTATGGGGGCATGCCATTTCTCAAAAAATCACACTCTCGCCTCGGCGCCGCGCACATTTTCTCAAAACTGGCATTCTCGCCTCGACGCCGCGCACATTTTTTGGTTGAAAGGGTGTTTTTTTCAGGGGTCGGGTGGTGACGTGTTGTTTGCGGTATTTCTCGTGTCGGCGCAGTATACGCGCTCTGCCCTGAGGACCCCCATTGGCATTGCATTGGCGCGGTTTGGCATTGGATTTGCGTCGCATTGGTATTGCGCTGCATTTCGTCGGCAGTGCGCTGGCCTTGCGCTTGAACTGCGCTGGCGACTTCCGTTGAAACCTCTACAAAAGGAATCCTATGAAACCCGCCATCAGAAGGATTCCTAGTGACCCTCCCCCTGCAAGACCAGTTTATATGGAATCCTGAACCAGAAGGATTCCTATGCTCAGCCCCTTTCTCCACGCGCACGCAAAAGGATTCCTAACCAATTCCTCCACTGAGAGATCCCAATCTAAATCATCCACAGAAGGGTTCCCAGTGACAAACGGGGAACAAACAGCATTAATTGCGTCCGCATCGATCGGGATTGGCATGCAACGACCACGTGCTGGCATTGCACTGGCATTGTGCTGGCAATGGCTTGGCACGGACTTGCATAGAACTGGCATGCCAGCGGCCAGTTGAGTTCCTCCACAGAAGGCTCCTACTGAAATCCTCCATTGCAGGATTCCGAGGTCAATCACCCACATGAGGATTTCTATTGAAATACAGAATATAGAAAGCAAACGATTCATTTGTGGCCCTTGACATCGCGCTGGCCTTGTGCTGGCAAAGCGCTGGCATAGCACACGCATAGCCTGGGAATTGACTTGGCATTGCATCACTGTTGAGGCATTTCAAAGACGGATACCTATTGAATTCTTCAGAAGGCTCCCGCTGGAATCCTCCATAGCAGGATTCTTAGTTCAGTCCTCCACAGAAGGATTACGATTTCAAGCTGCAAAAACAAAGAATTCATTGGTGCTCCATGGCATTGCATTGGCCTTGCGCTGGCAAAGCGCTTGCATAGCACAGGCATTGTCTTGGAATCGACTTGGCACTGCATTTCTCTTGAAACCCCTCGCGCAGGGATATCTATTGAATTTCTCCGCAGGGGGACTCTTTCTGAAACCCTCTATAATGATATTCTCAGTTCAATCATCCACGTAAGGGTTTCTATTGCAACCTAAAAGGAACATGGTTCACTGGTGCCTCTTGGCATTGCATGGGCCTTGCGCTGGCAAAGCGCTGGCATAACACAAGCACTGCCTTGGAATTGATTTGGCACTGCATCCCTCTCGAAGCCCATCATCCAAGGACTTCTATTCAGTTCATCCACGGAAGGGTCCAAACGAACTCCTCCATAGCAGCATTTCTGATTCAGTCCTCCACAGAAGGATTTGTATTGCACCATTAAGAAAAGGTTCATTGTTGCCCCTGGGCATTGTATTGGCCTTGCGCTGACAGGGCGCTGGCATCACACAGGCATTGCCTTGTACTCGAATAGGTATTGAATTTCTATTGCAGCCCTTCATACAAGGATTCCTGTTGGATTCCCCCACATGAGGGCTCCTAGAACCTCCGTAGCAGGATTCCTAGTTCAATCATCCACATACGGATTTCTATTTGAATCTAGAAGGAAGCATGGTCATTGGTGCCCCTTGGCGTTGCATTGGCCTTGCGCTGGCAAAGCGCTGGCACACCACAAGCATTGCCTTGGAGTTGCGGTGGCATGCGTTCCCCTTGAAACCCTGCGTGTAAGGAATCCAACTCAATTCCTCCACAGAAGGTTCGTACTGAAACCCGAAACAAGCAGGATCCCTACTTCAACCATCCACAGACAGATTTCTATTGGACTCTGGAACGAATGTTCACTGGTTCCCCATGGCATTGCATTGGCCTTGCGCTGGCAAAACGCTGGCATAACACACACACACATTGCTTTGGACGTGAATTGTATCACATTCCTCTTGAAGCCCTTTATAGAAGGATTCCTATCAACTTTCTCATCATATGGCTCCTATCGAAATCATCCATAACAGGAGTCCTATTCAATCATCCACAGCATGAGTTCTGCGGAAACATAGAATGGGGAAGAAACTTCACTCCTTTCGTGTTGGATAGCGGTGAGTGGGGATTGACATTGCACTGGCCAAGTGCTGGCGTTGTACTGGCATTGTACTGGCGACACGCTGGCACGGTCATGGCGTATAATTGCATAGCACTGGTGTTCTCTTGGCACTGCTAGCAGAGCTAGCGTAGCACTTGCATTCGTTAGCGTTGCCTTCCTATTGAAACCCTCAACAAACAACGGTTTTGATTGACAACCTTCCACATACTGATTCCTAGTGAACGCCCCACAAAAAGTTAGCATAGCATTGGTGCCCCCTTGGTGTTGCGATGGGCCTGGCACTGGTAAAGCGCTGGCACAGCACTACCAGTGCATTGGCATTGTCTTGGTGTTGCGTTCATATTGAAATTACACAAGCAATCAACAACGACACCTTCCATACAAGGATTTCTCTTCAAATCCGCCACATAAGGATTCGTATTGAAATCCTACGCAAGAAGGGTTCCCGTTGGAACCATCCACAGCAAGATTCATACAGCATCCTCCGCGCAAGGATTCTTTTGGAAACGCCCGCATAACGTTTCCGATTGGAATCCTCCGCAGAAGGGTTCCGATTGAAATCCTCCACATAAGGACTTCCATTGAAATCTTCAGGCGGGTTTCCATTGAAATCCGCCACATAAGGATCCCTATTGAAATCCAACAAGAAGGGTTGCTATTGAAATTCCCTCGGCAGTGATTCCTATTGAAATCCTCTGCTGAAGGATTCCAATTGGAACCGTCCACAAGAGGAATTTGGTGGGAGGGTGGGGGGGGGCCCTGGGGGGGGGGCAGAAAAAAAAAAACAAAAAAAAAAACAAAAAATTGGTCTGACCCCCCCCTGCGCCGATTTATTTTTATTTTATTTTTTTGCCCCCCCCCCCCCCAAGGGCCACCGCGTGCTGCTCGGGGGGTGGGGGGGGTGGGGGTGGGGGTGGGGGGGGGGGAGGGGAGGAGGGGAGGGGGACAAGCTAGGTGCGCTCGCGTCATATCTGACGTCCTACCCCTCCCTCCCATCCCTTACCATGGCGCTGATTTTCTCTATCCGCGGACGCGTGTCGTAGCGGACCTGTGGCTCCGCGCGCGCGTGCGTAGTGGGTGGTGGTGCACGTGCGTGCGTGCGTGCGTGTGTGCGTGGTTGTCGTGGTGGTGGTGGTGGTGGTGGTGTGGTGGTGGTGGTGGTGGTGGTGGTGGTGGTGGGTGGTGGTGGTGGTGGTGGTGGTGGTGGTGATGGTGGTGGTGGGGTGCTGGTGGTGGTGGTGGTGGTGGTGGTGGTTGGTGGTGGTGGTGGTGGTGGGTGGTGGTGGTGCTGGTGGTGGTGGTGGTGCTGGTGGTGGTGGTGGGTACTGGTGCTGGTGCTGGTGGTGGTTGTGGTGGTGGTGGTGGTGGTGGTGGTGGCGGTGCGGCGCGGTGGTGGCGGGCGGATGGGCGCGCGAGAAAAGGCCCGCGCTGGGGCGAGAACGCCATCCTGAACGACGGAGGCCAAACACCGATCCGAAAATGAGGCCCACGCTGCAGCGGGAGCACGATTCGGAACGATTCGGGAGCAGAAATGAGGCCGGCGCCTCAACGAGAGCAGCCGCTCAGCGAGAGTCGTTTCCCGGGATTTCCCGGGAATCCTGTGTGTAAAAAACAATACGCGGAGGGTGCGCGGCCATCACCCGGACGCCATCAGGGGAAGAGGGAGAGTATTTTCATATTGAGTAATTGTGGAGAGAGGGGAGGGGCTACCTCTCTCGACTGTTTCTCCCTCGCGTCTCCTTCCTCTCTCTCTCTCTCCCGCATACCTCTCTCTCTCTCTTTCTCTATCTCTCCACCGCCTCCTCCCTATCTCTCACTCCCTCCTTCTCCCTCGCTCACTCTCACGCCCCTCGGGAGTAAATCGTCGCGCGCGTCGGCCTCCATACCGCCACTTGAGAATCCCCCGTTCTCCAAAAATTAGGGTGGGAAATTCTTGGCCGTGTTCGGTCCCTGGGGGCCCTCGCCGGGCCTCGGGACCGTAAGAAAACGACTCAGGATGAAAAACCGGTCGGAACTTCCAGGCACCCCGGACTGAAACAACCAAGACGCCACATGCCTGGGGACCGGGCGTGTGACTCGAAGCGGGCCGGCCAGAGCGAGCAGGACTGCGGTCTGATTCGGGCCGGCGGGCCTCGGCCCCGGACGCACGCCAGACCAGGCCAGCCGCATCGAGCAGGGGCTATCGTTAGGTCGGGCATGTCCTCCTACAGGCGGGTCTTGGAAGACAGCTAGAAAATAGTCGACAAAACTCAAGAATAGCCCAAAGACATGAAACATCGTCACCAGACCATTTTAAACAAATTCTAAAATATTCCGCCTGTAGAGGCTGTCGTGTCCGTTCCTCCGCCCCCCATGGCGGAGGGCCTGCTTTTGCGCCAACCTTCGTCCGCCGAGGTGCCCGCAGAGCTATGCGCGCTCGGAGGCCTCGGACGCCTGCTCTGCGGCGTCTCCGCCCCGCGCCGCCGCCGCCGCGGCCGCGCCAAAATCGAACGCTGCCAGCTGCTCCTCCGGCAGCCAGGTCTCGGCCAGTCGCAGCCAGCGCACGCCGTGCGGCCGCACGCCCGCGTCCAGCTCCAGCAGCGGCGTCGAGATGCGCCCGTTCGTCGACCTGTCGGCCCCGGCGCTGCTCCCGTGCCCCGCGCCCTGCTGCAGCTCGAGGTAGGTGCCGGTCACGTACCTGCCGCCGGAGCGGGGCACCGCGCTGAGCCGCACGTCTCGGTGGCGCGCCCAGGGGAGAAGGCGGAAGGGGGCGGGCCGTCCCAGAGGGCTCCGAAGGCCTCCGGCTTCCCGAGAATCGCTCTGAGCCTTCTCGGAAGCCGCAGTGGGCCTCTCAGAAGGCCAGGAGGCTTCTGAGAAGCCCCGCCGCATTCCGAGAAGGCTTGCCGCCTCTCCCTCCCGCCCTCGGCGCGCCGCCGAATGTCGCGGATGTGGATCTGCCACGCGCCGTTCGAGCCTTTTGCGCCGCGCATGCCGCCGAGCCTGGCCTTGTCCACCTTGGTGCCGTCTGGCGTCACCATCTCGAAGTCGTCGGAGAACCGCTGCAAGAACTCGTCGAAGGCGGCGTCATGCAGCCGCCCCGCAAACCACGCCACGAAGAACTCGTGCAGTGCGACGACCTCGCGCTCGCAGGCCTGCACCGCAGCTGCGGGGTCCATCATCGGGCTGCGAGGCTCGCTCGCGTGTGGCGAATGCTGAGCTCATGAAGACAATCATTTTGAACAGGATGAGGTGGGAGGGGGGGGGGCAGGTTGATGAGCAATTGATTGAGGGTGGCTCGTATGATGATTGTGAAGCTTATCATGACGTTCATGATGCGAATGCTGAGGATGAGAGGGACACATAGCAGGTGGAGAAGGCTTATGATGAGTATGATAAATGCGATTGCGGCAATAATGATGCACATCAGCTGGATGACGGTGACACGTCGGATGACGATTCTGAACGTGATGGTGTTGATGAGGTTGAGCTTCATGTGGAGGAGCATTCGGATGGTGAAGATGATTCTGGTGGTTAAAAAAAGCATAATCTGGTGGTGAAGGAGGATGCAGAGTAGTGCGATTGTCATTATGATGATCAGGCGGAGGTGGATATCAGCATGTGGACGAAAGGAGGGGGAATGTAGTGGTTGTGACCATGATGATAAGGTGGATGCGGAATATGAGGACCAGTGTGACGATGATGAGAATGACGAGGAAGACCAGGGTGAGAGTGGAGACGGTCGGGCAGCATCTGCAAAATACTTCTCATCCTCCTCGTCGTCTCCATCTTTGTTTTCCCTCCAAAAGAGCGGGGACAGTCAAAATCATTCGAGGTGGAGCGCTGTTTGTTCTAGAGCATCATCTAATGGAGGAAGAGAAGGCTGATGAGAGGATAGTGGGGATGGGCATCCGAAGGACGAGTAGGATAAGCAGAATGATAATAACGAAGATCATGTGGGGCAGATGAAGATCAGGATGAGGGTAATGAGCGTTATGATGAAGGGAAGCGGCGTTGGAAAATCATGATGATGAATCGACGAAAGGACAAATACTTTGAGGAAAGATATTAGCAGGGAGGGGCAAGAGGAGAAGGGAGGGGAAAGAGCATGACTTATAAACAATTGCCCCAACATCGACCCCCAATATGTGCATTGCTCGAAAGCCAAGGCGCCTGGCCCACAGCTGGCCCCAATGAACGTCGCCACTTTTCGACGGCCAAGGCGCCCGGCCCACAGCTGGACCACAGAGCTAGCAGAGGCCCCCGGCCCACCAGGAGGGGAGCCATCCCCGTGAGGCTCGCCGCTTTTCGAAGGGCCCGAGCGCCCGGCCCACAGCCGACCAAACAGAGTCGGCAGAGCCCTTCGGCCCGCTGGGAGGGGCGCCATCCTCGTGAGCAGCAACCGCATCATGAGCAGCAGTGGCGACTTCAACAGCAACCACATCAACGGCACCTCACTAGCAAAGAAATTACGAGCAACAGCCGCATCAACAAATCTGGCAGACGTCCTGGAACACCAATTCTTGCTGCCAGGTAAGAGCTCCTTGTGCTAAAGCATAATTTGGAAATAAAGACAAACAACGCCTGGCCCACAACTGGCCTATAGAGCCGCCATAGGCCTCCATTCCACCAAGAGGGGCGCCATCCTCGTGAAGGTCTTCACATTTCGAATTGCCAGAGCGCCCGGCCTACAACTGGCCCATAGAGCTGGCAGAGGGCTCCGGCTCACCAGGACGGTGTGGACTAAAAGTGCTCACACGTGTCTCGCCAAAACCTTAAGTTATCAAAGCACTCCAGACCATAATGTATATCCCCCTTCCCCAAAATTCAAAGTTGACGGGTGTGGGCGGTAGGCCACAGGCCAGGGACAACATGTGGACATTTCAACTTTGGTTTCGGGGGGGAGGGGTGCAAAGCAATGGCATTTCGCAGATCTGGTGGTCATCATGATGCACCGTTTTACCGCCAAGGGTGTGGACACGTTTTGTCCGGGCACCGGAGGGGCGCCATCCTCGTGAGGGTCGAACAACAATCTAACACCGAGTAGAACAGCAACAGTGACAACATGATTTCAGGAACATGAGCGACGACATGAACAACGATATGAGGAGTAGTGGCAACATCAACAATAAACGCATCAACTAATAACAACATGTACACAACACAATTCGTAACAACTGCCAAACCAACAAAAAACACATGAACAGCAACGACGACATGGTCAGCAACCGCAGAAACAGCAACGACGACATGAGCAGCAATCGCATCATGACCAGCAGTGGCGACTTCACCGGCAACTATATCAACGGCAACCTCATCAACAAAATCATAACGAGCAACAGCCGCATCAACAAACCCGGCAGAGGCCTCCGATCACCAATTCTAGCTCCCGGGCAAGAACCCTCTTTATGCTGACGTGGTTCGCTGGGATGAACGAAACTACTCTGTGATCAGAATCCGCTTGAGGCTCCACGCTCCAGCTGGCCTTTTCGTCGCGGCCGTCGTTGTCGCTTTGTGGTCGTCTTCGCCGTCGTCGTCGTCGCCGCCGTCGTCGCCGTCGCTTTGTCGTCGTCGCCGTCGTTGTCGTCGTCGTCGCCGCCGTCGTCGTCGGTCGGCGCAGCGGGGGCCGTCCTTCCACTGGAAGCCTCATGGCCGCTCTCTTTCTAAAGCTGCGCGGGGCCGGACTTGGCGCGCGCGCGCGCGGCCAGTCCGTGGCGCATCGGTGGGAGGGGGCTGGCGGGGCCAGGCCCGGAGGTTAGGTGGAGGGGGGGAGGGATCGAGGACCAAGGCTTGGCTGCGTCCCAGGGAGCCGCAGTCTCTTGGCAGAGAAGAGCAGAGGAGAAGCGGCGGGAGACGGCGGCGGCCTGCAAAGCCAGGGCAAGGAGGGAAGGCGGGGAGAAAGTGGTGGAGGGAGACCGGCAACATGCAGACTCGCCCGTTCCCGCCCGTCGCCAGAGGCTAGACAAGCGCGTTCCACTACTCGCAAAGGAGGTGCTCGCAAATGCGCTCGATCCGCCGCGGGACACGCACGATATAGCACATCGAGGCGAACGGACATGTTTCGAACATTTGCAAGTCGGCACTTTGCGAGTAGTGGAGCGCGCTCGGTGAGAGGCGACGGGCTTGCGGGCAGACAGCCCTTGTCGGCCTGGGGTGCCAATTCCTTTCTGGGAGCTTCGGGTATGTGGCCGTGCCTTCCTGTCGCCCTGCTCCTCGGTCGGCCGGCCGGGTGCTGGCGCCACTGTGCGACGCCCCGTTTGCTGTCGGTTTCCCTGGGCCACCTCGGCTTGCCTGCACGTGCGGCCGGCTCTCGACAGTGACAGCTGGGTTCGCAAATTATCTGGCTCTGTGCCCCAGTCAGCCCGATTGACACGCCCTCTGGACTCTTCCTTGCGGGCCGCAGATCAAAAAGTATGTGGCCGTGCCGGAAGGGAGGATGTGGAGGACGGAGAAAGGGATGAAGAGGATTACCAGGATTACCGCCGTCACAAGTGGAAAGAAACAACCGAGTGCTCAGGCCTCAGGCAATAAATCACGATTCATCCTGTCGCGATGTTCCCGACGAGTCTTGGCCAGAGGCAGCTTGCACGGCTTCCCTAAACCCCAGAGCCGAGGGAAGGAAGATTGGGGATCCCAAAACCGTGTGGTGACAGACCGTTCGGTGACCTCTGAACCCCAAGAGACCTCACCGCACGGTCCGTCACCGTACGGTCTTGGGACCCTAGAGACCCCTGTCGCCCGAGACGTCCTCGGAGAGGGACTCGAGTCCCAAAACCGTGCGGTGACCCCGAATCCCCACCGACTCACCACACGGTGTGGTCACCACCCCGCTTGGGGGCCCCCGATGAGGAAGAGGGGGGAGGAGCAGGAGGAGGATGAGTTTCCTGGCAGCCACACCGTGGCCACCTATCTCACCAAGCGAAGCCGCCCACGGACGCCCAGAGGGCCGGCGTAAGACTTCGTGCCGCACGTCGCGCCAGAAGGATGAGGGGAGGAGGACGAGGAGCATGACGAAGAGGAGGAAGAGGAGGAGGAATCACTTCCAGGAAGTCTCCAGGGTCCCGGGCAAGGTGGAGGAGAAAGAGGGACGAGGAGTGGAAGGGAACGGAAGGGGCGGAGGGGCAGGAGAAGGAGAGGGATGGAGGAGGAGGTCCTCCTCCTCCTCCTCTTCCTCCTCCTCCTCCTCGTCCTCCTCCTCCTCCTCCTCCTCCTCCTCCTCCTCCTCCTCCTCTTCGTACCCTCATCACGGTCCTCCTCCTCCTCCTCCTCCTCCTCCTCGTCATCGTCGTCCTTGTCCTCCTCGTCGTTCGTCGTCCTCCTCATCCTCGTCGTCCACACCCCTCCCGCCCGCCAACTTCTCAGCTATTGAGCAACGGTCCCTCTTTTTGCGGTGAGTGATCCGAGCGAAACTCTGGACTCGTCGTGGCCTGAGGCTTTGCGAGCTTAAAGGCATGCCTTTAAACTCACACTCTCCCCAAGGGTTGGGGGGCGGGAGACCGAGAGACAGCTTGAGTGGAAATGGCAGCAGGGGTGTTAGCGACAATGGTCGAAAACGATAACATCACATGTGAGGCCCCTTTGCTCAACCCGTTCGAAAACCTCAAGAACAACGGTCCCTCTTTTTGCAGTGAGTGATTCAAGCGAAACTCTGGACTCGTCGTGGCCTGAGGCTTTGCGAGCTTAAAGGCGTGCCTTAAAACTCACTATCCCCCGAATCATCCCGAACAAATCAAAGTAGGATGTTCTCTAGGGTGGGAAGAGAAAGGGTGGGAGTGAAGCGCTCCATTCTCTAATAAACTCGCTAGAAGTGTTGAGACCATTGTATGTGCAAGCTGAGGAGGATATTCAGAAGCGATGCGAGTGCGACGGAAGCCTCCTGACCCCACGTCGCTGAGCTGCCAATGAGGTGAGCATTATAATGTCTTCTTGGTTTACATTAGCACAGATGAGCCTAGTGGCCTTCTTCCATTTAGCTCCATATTTGACACTGATCCAGTTCAACCAGCGAAAAGCGTTTATGGTGCGAGAGGTCGCACACTTCTGCAGTGTGCCACAGCCTGCTCGTCAAGGGGTGCTCAAGTATTACACGGATCTCTAACTTCAAAAAGAACCTGAAGAGACACGGCAACTCGAGCGAGGCGGTTGCCTAATTCCACTGCCCTTGCGTCCGCTGGCGTCAGAAGAGAGGCTCGGAAGCCCCATGGCATGTCCTGGCTGCGCACTGGGCGAGACCTGTCGTGCGCGAGGGGAAGGTCTGACAGGGCGGTGCCATCACTGCCGCAACCAGGCGGCCGCTCCGAGCGTCAGCTTTAATCGACCGCACCACGGCCGGCGACAGCAGGTCCTGCCACTCTGCATCGTAAATGACGTCCCAGCTCCTCGCTCGAATACCTCGGGCCTCTGCCGCGCGCGACACGGCCCTGCAGCCAGCCAACAGGTCGGCGAGGTACTGGCCCTTCCCTAGGCGGGCTCGGCGGAGGCGGTCCAGAAAGCGCCCTCCGCGGTGTCCCAAGTGCAGCCGGCTCACCTTCGCCACATCTGCACCTCGTGGGGCCGGTCCGTCAGGATGAGCACCAGCTGCCTCTCCGCCTCCTCGCACGTCGCACGCAGACGCGGGTCGAGCTTGGCGTAGTCGCTGCCCAGCCTGCTGCTGTGCTCGTAGCGGTGCATCGATTTCGCTTGCGTCCACTCCCCCCGCCGCTGCGCTGCGGTCAGAGAGCGCCAGCCCTTTGCCAGGTCGACGCTGGCGCCAGAGTGCCTCATTTGGTGCAGCGCCACATGGGCCCATCCCCAGCTCCGCCGCGGCCTCTTTGAGGTAGGCGCACAGCGGTGCATCGAGGCTCGTAGACGCGGAGGCCCACCCCTGTACGCGGGCACAAATCGGCCACGTTTGCGCGTAGGTCGCGCGCGCGTCAGCGCGACGCGACCGTGGCCTCGTTGCGCAGGCGCGGGTCATCGCGCCGTCGCGCGCCAGGGAGGGGCCGCCGCGGGGGGGGTCGTCGCTGCACCCCCGCGGCGCACGCGTTTCGCAGGTACCATTGTCTCAGGCACTGCGCGCCGCGGGGAAAGGCTGCGCTGGCCCCCCGCGGCGCTCGCTTCGCAAGCGTATTGTAAATTGAGAAGGCGCCGCGCGCGCGCGAGCGCGCGCGCGGCGGGCGCCACCCTGGCGCGCGTTCCTTCTGGAGTGGTGGCGCGAGGTCCTGGCCCTGGACCTGTGTCAGGCGCGGCCATGGGCCGACAAGGCGCGGCCCCGCGCGACCCTGTTCGCGGACGCGTCGGGACAACCACCTTGCGTGGCCGCGGTGCTCGTCACTGCCTCGGGCATCCAGTTCACTTCCATGCGCGCGCCGGCGTCCTTGGTGACGGCGTTCGAGCGTCGCCGGGACAACCAAATTCAGGGGCTGGAGCTCCTGTCCATCGCGCTGGGCATGTGCACCTTTGCAGGCGCTGCGTTCGCGCGCGTTTGACCGCCTCGCGCGCCAAACCGGCTCCTGTCGCCGCTCGCTCAGGTGAATTGCAGGGCTGCGATTTGCATGTCTACAGTGACAACACCGGCGCGGAGGCCTGCCTCCGTAAGGGCGCGGCGAAGGCTTTTGACCACTCTTGCATCGTCCACTCCATGTGGAAACGCGCCGTCGAGCTCGACGTCGATCTCGCCGTGTTTCGCGTGCCCACGGATGAGAATCTCGCCGATCTGCCCTCGCGGCAAGCCCGCGAGCGCCCACGCCGCGCTGCCGGCCGGCCGCAATTGTAGCGTACCGCAGGGGGGATGACGAGCTCCTACTACGCATCGGAGCCGTGCGCACGCGCCCGTGGCTCGACGAAGCCTTTTGGCGCGCGGACGCCTGGGGCGCGCTGTCCTTGGCGCATCTCTTCGGCAAACTTTGCGCGCCATGACGCGCTTGGGGGTCATCTTGCGTGACAGGGGCGTCGCGGTTCCGCTTCCCGCGCCGCGGTGAGGCGCTCGATGCGCCGCCGCTCCTGTCACCTCTAGTCTTCGCGTTAACTCGCAAGCGGAGAGCGCGCGCCCAGTGCATCGGGCGCGACACTCGCATCTTCTGACGCGCCGCGCGGCACTCGATGTCACTCTTCGCTGAATTATGTTCTCTGCGCCCGTCGGCGCCCAGGGCGGCCATTGTCTGGGCGGCTGATTTCTTGGCCGGAAACGGCTTTGTGCGTGCTTGCGAACTCGCCAGCGCGGACACCGCAGACCTGGAAGGGTGGACAGTCACCGCGCAGGTCAATGTCGAGGTCTTGCATGAATTATTCAGGGCTGCGAAGCTGGCGGCGCGCCGAGGTGGGGCTGCGCGCAGGGACTCTGCTTACCCCTCTTACTGCGCGGGCCCCGCAGTCGCATTCGCTGCGCAGGCGCGGCGGCTGGCGGGCGCGCGGCCGGCCGCAGCTGGTCGCCAGCAGCAAACGCGGCGCCCGTTGTTCCATGTTTTTCCCCGCCGCCGCAGGCGCGCGTCGTTTGCCCCACGCATTCGCAAGTCTCCCGCGTACCGTGGCTCGCGAGGCGCCGACCCCCAGTATCATCGACCGCCTGGCCGCGCCGGTCGCGCCGCCCGTGGCGTGCGGGCCCTGGGCGGCGCTCGCAGAGACCGCCGCGCGCCTCCGCGGTCCTGCAGACGCGGCCCGTTGGCGAGAGGTCAAACGCGCTCGCGCCATGCTGCAGCCATGCGCGAGGTCGCTCCTGAGCGTGAGAAGCGGCCTCAAGTGCTTGGCAGCTTACTGCGTCAGGGTGTTGCAATACCCGTGCATGCAGCTGCCGCCAGCCAGCGCGGACTTAGTCGCCTGGGGCGCTTTATTTCGCTGCGGCGCGACATACGCGAACCATTGCGGCTACGTCAGAGTCGGGTGTCTCCTGGCAGGGACCTGCGCCGCCGTATTCGACAGCCCTGAGGTCAGGCGTGCGCGCGCCGCCGTTCGGGCGCGGGGTGATTGGATTTCGCGTCCGCTCTTATTCATCCGAAAGTGGGCAGTCGCCTCGCTTGTCGGCTTGGGCGCGCGCCGCCCCGAGTGGCTCCGCGCCTCGATGCTTTTCCTTCTCGCCTATACGTTTCTGCTGAGGGTCCCCAGCGAGGCGTTGCCGGCCGTGCGCGTGGACGACGCCGGCGACGCGCCGTCCTTTCAAGCGGCGCTCGTGCTGGGCGCAGCGGAGCACACGCTGCTGCTGCGTCGGCGGAAGAACAAGGCACAAGGCAGTCGCTTGACGCGGAGGTGCTGGTGCGCATCGTGCCGCGCCACGTGCCCCGTGCATAACCTGGGCCCCTGGTTGGCGCGGCGCGCGCCGGGCTGCGGGCTTTCTGATGGCATCTCGGCGGCCGCCGCGTTGCGTACCCTGCGCGAGATGCTCGCAGCCCTCGGTGTCCAGGAAGCGGGCCTGTTTCGGCTGCACGACCTCCGCAGGGGCCACGCTAGTGACCTGCAGGAGGCGGGCGCGACGCTCGCCGAGATCCTCGCGGCTGGAGAGTGGCGGTCCTGCGCCTTCATGGCGTATCTCGACCGCGACGATCTGGAGAGGGACGCGGTCGTGGAGGCGGAGCCACGTGACCGCCGCCCGCGCCACGGCGCCCTGCACGCGCCAGGCGCATATGCTCGAGTCTGATTCAGACAACGGTGCCGGTTAGGCGCCGGCGGCCAGCGCCGCCACGCTCGGTCCTGGGTGTGGGTGTGTGCGCGCGCCGGCGAACGTGCTCTGCCCCCGCGCGATCGGCAGCGGGTGTGCGCGCGTTGCCTGCCCGTGTCGCCTGCGTGCCGTGTGGCATTGGGTCTTGCACGCAGGCGTGGCGCGAGGCTGCCCCAAGCGGCGGGCGTCGGGCCTGGGCCCGTCGCAGCCGCCCAGAAGGGGCCAGCCTCGCACCGCGCTGCACCCACCGACGGCGGCAGCAGGCGGGGTCGAGGCCCTGCACGCGCGGCCCGATTTGTGGTAGGCGCACAGCGGTGCATCGAGGCTCGTAGACGCGGAGGCCCACCGTTGTACGCGGGCACAAATCGGCCACGTTTGCGCGTAGGTCGCGCGCGCGTCAGCGCGACGCGACCGTGGCCTCGTTGCGCAGGCGCGGGTCATCGCGCCGTCGCGCGCCAGGGAGGGGCCGCCGCGGGGGGGGGGGGGCGTCGCTGCACCCCCGCGGCGCACGCGTTTCGCAGGTACCATTGTCTCAGGCACTGCGCGCCGCGGGGAAAGGCTGCGCTGGCCCCCCGCGGCGCTCGCTTCGCAGGCGTATTGTAAATTGAGAAAGCGCCGCGCGCGCGCGAGCGCGCGCGGCGGGCGCCACCCTGGCGCGCGCTCCTTCTCCCGCCCTCCACCCTGTCTGCTGCGCGCAGGCGAGGCGCGAGGCTGCCCCGAGCGGCGGGCGTCGGGCCTGGGCCTTCGCAGCCGCCCAGAAGGGGCCAGCCTCGCACCGCGCTGCACCCGCCGACGGCGGCAGCAGGCGGGGTCGAGGCCCTGCACGCGCGGCCCGATTTGTGGGGCGTCGCCGCCTCGGGGCAGCCGAAGTTCCACAGCGGCTCCTTCGATCTCGCCGAGGCGAGCCGGCTGAACGCCGCGTCCAAGCCCTGGAGGTACGGTGAGTCCAGGGGGCAGCCCTCGTCGAAGTGCCCACGCTTGCTGGGCTTCTTCGAAGTGCTCCCGCGGGTGGGTCAGCAGGGCCCAGTACCTGCTGACTCCAGGTGTCGGCGGCGCAAGGTCGCACCGCCGGGCGGCCAACAAGGTCGAGGGCCGCGCGTAGACCGATGCGCCCACCATCAGGAAGATAGCGAGGCGCAGGTGCCCCCGCTCCGCTAGCCTCCAGCCCAGCCCGCGCAAAACCGGGAGGGCCAAGGCCTTCCTCCGCCGGCCTGGGGTCAGCCGGCGCCAGGCCTTCAGCGATCGTCACGTCCGCGGCAGCACGCTGCCTCCCACGCGGCCGAACGCAAGGTTCGCGTTGACCCAGGCCGCCACTGTCTGGTCGCTGAAGCTGCTCTGCTCGCCCTGCAAGTAGTGCTCGGTCAAGTAGCTGCACATGAGCTCGTCGATCTCCTCGTCGGTCCTCGCCAGCAGCTGCTTCCTGCTCAGGCCGACGTGCGAGAAGAACCGATCGAGGTATCGCTTGTATCTCACTCGCGTGGCCTGGGTAACCGCCAGGGTCTCCAGGAGGCTCACCCCCGAGTCCTGCGCCGCCAAGATGGCGTCGGCGTGCGGCCTCGCACGCCGGTGTGCCCTCCTCGCGCGCAGCTGCCGCATCCTCACCCGACTCCGAGTCGGAGCCGCTGGAGCTGCTGTCGCCTTCGGCGTCCTCCCCGGCGTCTCCAGCGAGGTCCAGCCCGTTCAAGCCCCTCTCGTCGAGAGCCGCAGAGTGTCGCCCGTCCCGGGCGGCCCGCCTCTCCTGCAGCGGCAGCTGGGGGGTGGCCGTCGGCGACCTCGCCCTCTCCTGCGAGCCCGGGCGGAGCAGGCTGCGCGGGCCCTCGCGAAGGCCCTCCGGCGCCGCCCTGGCCCCCAGCGCCCGGGCCCGCGCGGCAGGCATCCGAGCGCCCGCCCGAGGAGGGGCCGCCTGCGCCCGAGGTGCCGGCGAGACCAGCGCCCGATCCCCTCTTGGGCGCCATGGCCAGGGGACTCTGGCTGTTCGGGAAGCTCGGCGAGCCCAGCGATGCGAAAGTGTTTTGAGTCAGAACGGCTACGGAGGGGGCCACAGGCGTTTCCTTCCACAGGGACGGCTCTCGGAGGACGGGCGCGCAGATCTAAACCAGCCTAGAACTTATCATCAAGAAGGGATGTTAGAATACTACTCTCTCTCTGACAAAAAAAACCTGCTGCCTTCGTCGCTCTCATTAAACCCCGAGGGGGTCCGTCGGAAAGCGGGCGAAAGCCATGGCGCTATAGCATAGGCGTAGAACCGACGGGTCTGAACCAGCAATCCGAAGCAGGACGAACGAGCCCTGGAAACAATATAGAACCACAGACATATCGTCGGACAGAAAGAGCTGCCGCACGCAAACTCCGCGCGAGGTCTTAGCCAGCCGTTGGATCGAATGTACGAAGGCCCTGGCTTCCAAAATCAGAATGCCCTCGGGAAAACGCCAGACCCCAGATCGAACGGTCTCCCAGACCCCATTTCGGAGCCACTGCCAGGGGACCTCAGCGAACTCGAGGTCGAGCTCCCAGGGGGACAGGAGGTCAGACGTGAGCGGACCAGGGCCTTTCGCCTCATCGAAAACGCGAAGCACGCCCGAGCTATCCAAGGCAAGGTTACAGCCGCGAGCGCACTCTCTCGCGCTGGCCTGCCCTGCGCCGAACGGAAGCGGGCCCGCTCAGGCAGCCGGCCCACCTGCTCCACCACCTTCCTCGGCCAGAACGACTGCGCCATGCCCCAGCCGCTCTCGCTTGCGTCGGTCTGGAGCACGCAATAGTTCCATGGCCGCCACCAGTCCTGCACCATGAGCGCGAGCAGGCCACAGAACATCTTGATCTCCTTCACTACCTCCGCCCACAGGCGCGCGGCCTCCAGGTAGTGTCTCTGCCCGAACCGGCACGAGGCGTGCTGGCTGCTTCGGGGGCCTCGGAGGGCAAGGCCGCAGAAGGCGCGGTGGCCTAGCACCATCTCCAGGGCCCGCCCCGTCGCCCGACCGCGGGCGAGCAGCCCGCCCAGGCCGACGCACACCTTCCAGATGCGCCCGTCGCTCACGCCCGATCTCATCAGCTCGAGGTCGAGCTTGGTTCCGAGCGCCTCGCACGCGCCCCAGGATGCTCTTTTGCAGGCCCAGGCCCGCCGCCTCGAAATGGCCGGTCCAGTTCTCGAGGGCGCCCGTGGCGAGGCTCTCCGACGGGGCGAGCGCGCCCGCGTTGTCGACGTAGACGCAGGCGCCTCCGCGCTGGCCCGGCCCGACCTCAATCGCGAGCGGGGGCCCGCGATCTTTCATCAGGGCCCGCCCCGAGAGGGCGGCGTCTCCTCCGGGCCAGGGGTCAGACCGCAGAGCCCGCTCCTCGCTGGCGCCCTGCGTGAGGAAGAGGGGCCAGGAGAAGCCCATGGGGAGCGCCCCGGTGCAGGGTAGACTGGGGCGTCAGCCCCCAGCTTCGCCCCTTCCAGCCCCTGCCCCTCCAGCCCCGACACGTGGGCGGGGGCCGCCGGCAGCGCGAAGAACTTCGCCAGGCTCAGCGGGATGCGCATCCAGTAGAAGCAATCCTTGACGTCCGTCATGCCCAAGAAGAGCTTGAAGTCGCCCAGCAGCGCCTCGGCCTCCTTCGAGTCGACCGCGATGCCCTCTGGGAGCTAAATCTCCACCCCGCCGAAGCCCTCGCAGGACAAGAGCTGCGCACCCGGGGGCGCGCCAAACCAGGCGTTCGCTCGGCGGGCGCCCACGACCACCCGCATCTTGTCGCCGTCAGCCCTCTAGGAGCCAGGGTGGCGAGCAGGAGCCCGCGAGACGAGACCTCCCTCGAACAGTTGTGGTACATATTCTGGTTCCGCTTCAGCAGCGGGTCAAAGTACGGAGTCGGCAGGCTGTCAAAATCGATCGCATTGATCGGCCGCCTCATACGCTTTTGATCCCCCTTCAGGTAAGGGCGGCCGGCCTCGCCCACGACGTCTTCCATCTGGCGGCAGCCGACGACCGAAGGGGGCTAGGGCGCGCGGCCGCGGACGAAGGAGGCCAGGTTCCTAGGGGAGCCCGACGCGTCGTAGATCGAGCGCCCCTTGAGCAACGCTCTGAGCGCCGCCTCTTGGGACGGACAGGGGCAGGGAGCTGCGGCTTGGCGCCGAAGAGCTTCGCTGACCACCCACTGCGCGATCCCAGCATGCTTGCCCCCCATCGCGTCCAGGGAGCGCGGCGGGCCCACGTCGTCAGGCCCCCATCCAGCAAGCCAGTTGAGAGAGTCGATCGCGCCGTTCGCCAATTCATGCTCGCGCCGCAGCCGAGCGCCAGCGACGCGGGCGCGGCTGCCGCCCCAGCTGGCCAGCGGCCTGGCCAGGCGAGGGAGTGGGAACACGTCTCGATCCCCGCTCGCCAAGGCCAGCGGCGCGCGCTGGGCCGTAGTCGTTGCCTGGCCAACGGTGGCCCACTCCACCGGCCGCGTCTGATCAGTCATGACTCCACGGGCGGCGCGAAGGCGCGTGCTCGGGACTTCTTTCCCCGGCCGCCCCCGCCGCCGCCCCTGCCTCCGCCCTGCGCCTCGCCCTCGGGCACCTCGCGCGAGGCCCGCGCGGCTGCCGCGCCCGCGGCGACCGCAGCGGCCGTTTTGTCCCCCTGCATCAGCTCGCACTCCTCCTTGGCCCTCCTCGACACGTGCGAGCGGAAGCCGGGGGCAATGAGCTGGTCGACCTCGGTCAGCGGCTATACTTCGCGTTCGAGTACGAGGCCGTGCCGCTAGTCTTGTGCGCGCCCACCAGGAGGTTCAACCGGGGGGCCGCCACCTCCGAGCAGGCAAGCCCTCCGAAGTTCAGCAGATCGAACTCGCCAGCTTCCTCCAAAATGTCGCACAGAACTCGGAGTTCGTGAGCGACTCGAACCGTCGAAGCGACCCCCTTCCCTCGCAGGAAGCGCTCCAGCCAAGACAAAGGAAACCCGTTCATACTCACCATCATCTTGCACGTGCGCAGGCAGGTGCGGTCGGCCGGCAGCCGGTGGTGGTCCTACGTCACGCTCGAGCTCTTCTCCGCCACCGCCCTCTTGAACTCCTTCCACCTCTCTCCTTGCTCGTCTCAATCGACCCGCAGCGTGCGCACGTCATTGACAAAATCGTCGCTGGGCCACTGACCAGGGGGCTCTTCAGGGGCGAGGCCCAGACGCTCGTCGAGGCGGTCGGTGAGCGGCAACCGGCCCGAGGGAGCAGCCGGTGGTGGGGTCGCCGTGCCCTCCACCAGCTCCGCCCCCGCTCCGGCCCAGGGCGGGACGCCGAGCGCGACGCGCAGCTCGTCAGCCCGGTGGGCCGCGTAGTCGACGACCCTGTCCTCGTCCACCTGCTCGACCCTCGCCCAACGCCCGCAACCGTCTAGCCAGCACAGCGCCTGCGCCCCATCCCGGAGCGCGCCACTCGGCAGCGGGTCCACCAAGGTGCCGACCTGCATGTCAGGGAGGGGCTCCGCCAGCACCCACGGGCGCCTGACAGCCGCCCACGGGAACAGCTCCCGACCCGGGCGCTCCGCTCCGTCGGCGGTGACCACGCTCCGCGGCTCCTCCGCCTCGGCATGGCCCTGCCTGAGCATCGTCTTTCGGCACTCGGCGGCGAGCTCCAGGATCTCCTCGGTGCTCGGGCGCCTGCGGAACCGGTACAAGAGCCGGCGGCCGTCGGGCGGGTCCCCCGTCGCCTGATCCAAGAGCGACCCGCCCGATGGCCCTGTCGCGGGGCTCCTCCCGCTCAGGTCCTCCTCCCGCACGTCGCCGTCGGCCGAGATCACCCAGTAGGCCGCGCGGCCGCGGAGGTGCCCTCGACGATCTCTTTTGCGGGCCGGCCACAAAACCACCCACATGTGGTCCATGGCCTCGCCCGCATAAGAGACCCGGACCACCGCGCCGACCGCCAGGTCAGCGCACCACACCTCCTCCGCGGCGAGCGGGGGCAGGGACGGCGTGCGACCATCATCTTCGCGAGCTCGGCGGCACCGGCAGCACTGCAAGGCTCGCGCGGCCTCCAACACCAGCGCCACGATTACACCCGGCGCCGCGGCGACCACCCAGCCCTCTGCCCCGCCAGCCGGCGCCTCCGGCAGCGCGCAGACCTGCGGCGCCGCCGGGCACGGCGGTGCCTCAGGGCACGCCGGGCAAATCTCGCCCAGGTCGGGCGGCAGCCACGCGGGCGGGCACACGGCCTCCAGCGCGCACGGCGGCAGGGATGGCTTGGGAGGCGGCCACGGGCCACCTGGCAGGAGGGCCGCCAGGTGAAGGAGCCCCACCCCGAGCAGGGCGAGGAGGCTGGGCGCCTGATTCATCTCAAACCGAGAGACAACTTGAGCGGAAATGGCAGCAGGGGTGTTAGCGACAATGGTCGAAAACGATAACATCACATGTGAGGCCCCTCTGCTCAACCCGTTCTAAAACCTCCATAACGCCCCCCTCCTCCTCGTACGCGTCCTCGCCCTTTCCATCGTTTTCCTCGTCGTTGTCCTCCTCCTCCTCCTCCTCAGCCTCCTCCTCATATTCCTCTTCCCCCCCTCTCCCGACGACGGCGATCGCACAAACACGAGGGAGGCCTCGGTTCCGTGCGGGTCGCGCGGCACAATTCTCACGCCGACGGACTACCTTCACTCCCCTGCCCGCCCTCCAGGGAGAGGTGCCGCGAGCTCTGGCGGCCGTCTGCCGCATAGCGGGGGAGGGAGCGTGGACGGAAAGGGGGTCAGAGAAGGGTCGGAGATGGAGAAGGGAGGGATCGGATCGGATCGATTCGGCAGGAGGAATCGTCGTGCTCCACAGCGCCACCTGAGCCGCAGCCCCTACTTTTGGGGGGCCGCAAGGATGGAGCTGTAAGCTCAAAACACAGCCAGGCCAGTATTGACATCCCGCCCTGCCTGTCGGTCAACTTCCACCACGGTCCCAACCTTCCACCTTGGGCAGAGGCTCACGACTTGAAAAAGGGAAGGAAAAGGGCATGGAGAGGGGGGCATGATGCGTCACGCTGCCGGATCGTAACCCCGAGGACGAATTCGGACTACTGGAGCGGCATGTGGGCAACGGGGCCCCATGCCGGAAGCGGCGCGGCTCCCCGAGACGCCGAAGCGTCCACGGCACCCTCAGGTTGACGTCTAATTACAGAAGAGGCGCAGCGGGCTCGACATCGGCGGCCGAAGCAACGCCTACCCCTGAAATCCTGGCGGCTCCATTTTTTCGAGCCGGGCGTTTTCGCCCAATTTCGGGCCCCGGGGCCTCACAGATCGATCCGTTTCGAAACATGGCGCAAAAATATGGGGTCTGGGCGCCCAGTCGTGGTTTCTCACGACCTCTCAATTCTTTCGAGACGTCGGATCTCAGGGACGGGAGGGGCCGCCCCAATCCCGTGTGAGTTCCGGGGCCCACCGTCTGCGTGCACCGCGTGAGAGGCGCCGCGGGCTCCAGATCAGCGGAGGTGGCTCTACCTATGAGGAGACCACATGCGAGCCCTGCCCCACCACCCCACGATTTCTGAGGGGGGAGGTGGGGTTCAATTCGCTCGGGAGGTCCCGAGCGAAGTGAGTCCCACCTCCCCCCTTAGAAATCCTGGGGTGATGGGGCAGGGTTCGCATGTGGCCTCCTATCTACGTGAGGAGAGCTGGGAGCTCGAAGTGAACGGCAGCTGCACGTATATCATGGGCACCGCTGGTTCTGTGTGGATTCCAGGGCCCGTCTTCCGTGGGCCCCCACATGGAGGCGCACGGTTTCCCGAACCAACGGCAGCCGCAAGTCCACAAAAGCGGGGCTCGCGAGCGACGCCAAATTGTGTGGGTGGCGAAGCTGCCTCCGACTCCGCCCAGGTCCTGAAGCCCTCCAGCAAGCTTCCTGGAGGGAGGCCGAGAGCGCAGAGCAACCGCGACACTGCAAGTGAGCAGGTCAGAGCTCGCATTCGGGCTTGTGCGGAATAAGAAAAAACAAATGCCGTCCGTGCTCTGGCTTGACGCCGCCAGTGTGGTTCAGCGGCCAGTCGAACTCATCGTCGAACCACGAGAGGAAGTCGCCTCAGCTCGGAGGAGGGGGGATGGCGAATGGGGAGGGAAGAGTGGCAAACGAGGACGTGGGGTGGTGGAGCAAGTCAGGAAGATTTTCCTGGCGTGGATGAAAAGGTTCTCGAGGAAAGTGGGCCCTCGACCCTGGGCATTTCCCTCGGACGAACTGTTCATCCTGATTGGCTTGGACGCCTGGGCAACGTGTGAACAACAACGACCGCGACACTCGATCGACAACGAAATCTTCGCCCCTATATGAAGTGGAGTGGGGGCGAGCATGCGAGGCGGGGATTTTACCCGCCGCCACCGCCTGGGGGATCGAGCTTCGGGGACCTCGGCAGGCGGCCGATATGGACATATCAGGCCCCTCTCCAGGGCCCGAGTATATCGATATCCCCGCCTGCCGAGGTCTCCAAAAAACCCTTGCCCCAACCAGTGGGGATGGGTAGATCCCCGCCTCGGAAAAAGCCTCTCGAGCCCGGACTCGTTCTTGAGAGTCCCGGGGCCCTCGGCCGGGGGACATGCCTTGCGCATGCCGGAAAATGTCGGAACACCGAGACCAGCATCGTACTGGAGGTGGTCGATGTGGCGTCCCAGGACGGCCAAATCCGGCACAGCCAAAACCAGACTGCTCATGTCGAGATCGGTGAGTTCTCCCCCGAGGAGCCGTCCCGGAAAATCCACTCCATTGTGGTTGTGGCTCTTTGTTGTCTCGAGCTGGGGCGGTGGCACACTGGCAGCGGCAGCACGTCGGGGTCCACGCCTGGCGCCCGCGCGCTCGGCGCGCTCGGCGCGGGCCGCGTGGCCGCACTGCCCGCCGCCGCCGCGAGGACCCTCCCGAGGCAGGCAGGCACGCGCGCGCGCGGGGAGGAACCCTCGCGGGCCGTGGGCGCCGTGAGGCACTCGGGCGGGTGGCAATCGGGAGTGCCCTAACTGGGGGGTGAAGAACAGGACAGGGGCCCCAGCTGAATCCCAAAGGGGACTCAATGGGCCCCTTCAGGGTCCTTTTCTCCCCCCCCCAGCTAAGTCACCCCCCGTTACCACTCGCCCGAGGCACGCCGCGGCCGGCGCTTCTGGCAGCTCGAAGAATGGTGCAGAAAGAGGAGTCTGGGGCGCGGGATCTCTATGTTTGAATTTTGTCGAAACGTCGGGTTTCTGGGGACGGTCGGGGTCGTCATCTCTTCTCTCGGCACAGTAGCTTGGAGAAAAGCTGGCTGAGATCGGCGCCCCCCCGCCCCCCCCAGAGCGCCGACATCGGCACCCCGAAAATGATGGGGCACTCCTGCGGCGCGGGCGCGGGAATTTCGGGAGAAGCCGCCGAACAAAATTGCGATGGGAATGTGTTGAAGAAATCCGCTATTCTCCCCTGGGCCATTGACGAACCTCTCACCTTTGGCGAGCTCACATCAGAGTTTGACAATGATTGGCGATGGGAACTTAACAGACATTTCGCACTGCTGTCCCCCCACGGGCTTCGGCTCGAATCTCACGAATTCATAAAGATACTGGGGTTTCACAAGCTCTGTGTGTTTGCGCAAGAGGACCCCTCACCGGGTTGCGTGGAAAGTACACTATGAAACTGAAAATGAGCTAGCACTGTCAGACCCCCGCACGCCACATATCACCTCAATCGCCATAGCTACGGCAAGCGCCTCCAGCATTTCCTAGGCAACCGCCTCCAAACTGCGAGCATGACATGGACTCGCCGAGCACACCCTGCAGAACAGACTCAACATCCGCCTGTGGTTTGAACGCAATCACACCGACGGGCTTGGAGCCTGCACTGGATGAGGGAGGGAATGCTTATCAGAAGGTGGCAAGGTTAGGGTAGGATCAAAGCCAAGTGATTGAAGGGCGAACCCCTGCCCGCCCGCGCGCGCAATTATACAGATTTTCACTTCTTCGCAACTCCTCGCATCATGAAGTTCCTCCTTCATGCCACGAACATGGCCCACGGGTGAAGCGTGCGCGCGCGGGTGCGCGCGACAGGTGCCATGGCCAGTCCCCTGCGTGGCCACGCGAGCGGGTGAGCATCAACTTCTAACTTGCACTTCGCCACTGACGAACTCATCCAAGAGGTTGACAGCTGTCCTCTGCACGCCGTGGCTTGCGATTCTGGCAAGTGCTCGCGCGATGAAATCACGAATGCTACATTTGTTGTGTTTGGCTTGGCACTCGTCTACGAACTAATACATGTGGTCTTCGCAAAACGAGCGCACCAGTTTCACACTAGTTGTGAGACGTGAGCATGCGCGCGGCCCGCGAGGTATTATCTGAGAAACGCTCGTGCGCTATATAAAAGCGCCAACCGCGTGACATTGTGTGCGGTTGAAAACGCAAGAATAATGATGCGCCTTCGCACCAAGTTGTGTGATATCATTCGTCGGGTGGACTTTGGATCCGCCGGGAACTATGCGGTGCAAGCTGCGTGGTCTAAGCTATGTGGTACCAGATATGTGGTGCAATCTGCGTGGTGCAAAGTTAATTCTTTAATGCTACGTGGTGCAAGCTGCGCGTAGTAAACAATGTGGTGCGAACTATTTGGTGCAAGATGGTGTCAGCTATTTGCTGGAAGCTACGTGGTGGTGTGAGCAATGCGGTCGAAGCTAACTACATGATGCAATCTGTAGGTTGCAAGCTGTGTGGCGCACCAAGCGCCCTGGGCACGGCCCGACACCGTTCGAACACCCACTAATCAGAGCGACCGCACTGGGCACGCACGAGGCGCCCACAGCCTGGCACCAACCAAACACATTGAAATCGCAGCCATCGCACGAGGCGCCCAGTGCCGGACACTGGGCAAATCCCTGGAAATCCTGTCCAACTGAGAATTCCGGATGCAAGCGTTTTGGGGAACCGAAGCCAAATGTGGCGGCCTGGTAAGGCACAGAAGCGTCCGTCACCCGGGAGCGAAGGAAGTATTAGCTCTCATATTTACTGCGGAGACGGACAACTCCCACTTGCCTGCCCCCAATCGTTGCGTTTTGCGGTCCTGCGTGCTGAAGCTTTGCGTTGTCAAGCTCCTCGTGCCAGAGTTCATGGCTGAACGGGGTGCGCGCGTGCGTCAAGTGCTATGACGAGTCCACGCGCGAGGTGAATACCAATTTCGACTGCTTTCGCCATTGACGACGACATCCAAGAATTGGACCACATCCGATTAACAGCCCGTAGCCTCTGGTGTTGGCACATGTGCGCAGAGGTATTCAGCCGCCTGTGTGTGTATATATACACATATATATAAAGAATCAACGCATGTGGAACAACTGTTACTTGTTTCGACAACATGCTTTTGTTCATCTGCGTATGCCAAGGACTGGCCAATACCCCGATCCTCTGGTTTGGCGAAGGGCAGCACCAGCGCAGATGAACGTCTGGCGGCGCAGGGGGGAGAAGACGAGTGGCGATAGGGGACCGCTCGGGGGAGATGGCATATCAACACGGCGTCGCGGCCCTCTCCCACTTTTCGGACTCAGTGGCACCCGGTGTCGTGGATCCAAACGATCTCGTGCTGACGGGGTGTTCGCGTGGCCAAGCGTTCTCTCTGCGTCGCCTTGAAAGTACGGGCGCTCGTCGCAGTGCACGGCTCGTCGCGCGAATGGACTTGCGCCGCCGTCGGCCAGGCCCCAGCCAACGTCCGCAGTAGCGCCATCCGCCACGCCTGCGTCAAGCCGCGGAGGTTACCGGCCAGCGCCTCCCAGTCTAACGCCGCGGAGATCTCCACCAAGGGATGTTCATCGCCTCGTTCGCCTGGTTATCGTCGAGGCCAGGTCGTTGGCGACCACGCCAGTGTGCAGCGTTCGCAGTAGCGCCCAATGCAAGCGCAACTTGCCGATGGGGGGCCGCCATCCAGAATCGCGGAACGGGCCTGCAGGAACTCCCGACCGTGGTCAACAGCCGCCAGGCCCGCAGCGTACAGCTTAGGCGGGTCGTCCAGGCCCCCCGAAGCCGCGCGCAAGCGGAGGACCACGAGCACGTCAGTGCGCCACGCAGCCGCGCAACGCCCCCACGCAGAGACGGCGATCGGCAAGTGGACGTTCGCCGAGCGGCGCAACAGCGTCAAGTTGGCCTGCTACTCCTCCAGCGTGGCAGGCGCAGGGCAGCAACGTGCACGCTGGCAGAAGTGAGGGCGGGGGCGCCGCCGTCCTACAGGACGCGCCGATCCGCTCGCGTGAGCGGATTATCAGGCCAACGGAGTAGGCGGCCGTGGATGTGCAGTTCGTCGCGCGTGGAATTCCATGGCAGCGGGAAGAGCATTGTAGCCCGTCGCGGGGATGGCGCGACGGTGAGGCAGCGCCGCCGCTGTGGAGAAACAGGAGCCAGTCTTCGAGATGGCCCTGGCGCGCTCTCGCCACGCCGCTAACCACGGCGCTCAATGCTCACGCTGACACTGAGAATGATGCCGATGTTGGTCCGGATCGCGTGTAGGTCACCACTAAACGGGCAGCCCTGCAGCACGCCCGAATTCACGATGTGCAAGCAGGTGATCCCCGGGTGCGACCCCTCGAACATCTGGACATCGACGCAGAACGTCGCGATGATGTTCAAAATGCCGATCAGGAGCCCAAGCGCGTTGAGTGACATGAACAAGCATCTTTGGGATAGGGCCGCGAATGCATGAGCAAAATCGAAACTCAAAGCAAAGGCTGGGCCATCAGAGCCTAAGGATCAAACGACGTTGTGCGGGAGAAAATGATATCCAGATCCACCACATCACATCATGCAAGACATCCCGGCCGCATATGAAGCCGCGCTGGATCGGGGAGATCACTATGGCGATGATTCGGGCGATCACCACATGCACGGCGCTCGCCAATACCTCATTACTACGCTGCTTCAGGGCCGCTCAGCCGTACTTGGACCGCCTGTCGCTCCGCCTCACGCCCGAGCACCTGGCCGTCGTAGAAATCACGTCCCAAGCAATGCTGCGCCAGCTTATCTCCCGTGCGCGGGCGTCGGCGCATGGCCCCGACAGCGTGCCGTACGCAAGCTGGGGCGCGGTGGAGGGCATCAACGTACTGGCACACGCGCTGCGGTGGATGGCGCTCGGGTGGCCCATGAAGGCTCGGTTCACCCGTGCCCTTTGCCGTCTTCCCCCCCGAAAGGGGCCAAGAAGGCTGACAAGAATGGAGTAGTGCGCCCTGCTAGTGCACCCGTCCTTTGATATACGTGTGTGTAGTTTGAACATACATCTGCAGATGTATGAAGCAAGTATTGAAACACGAGAGCACACGCGCGGTTCTCAGTTTAAGTTGTCCGCATGTGGGCCACATGTCAGGGCCAGACATGGCTTCGCCCCTGATGGTATGATTTAGTTTGTGGGATTGACTTTGGGTCCAGAAGTCAAGTGGACACGCAATAGAACATGCCCAGGCTGGATGCGGCAGACTAGTGCGGCCTGGTCGGGCTTGATTGAAGTGGTTTTAAATATCCTGATTTCCCAGTTCCTCCTTGCACTGAGGGCCCCCTTTTTTGTCTTGCTAAGTAACTGGGTGGGTCTGCCGAGGTTCAGCTAGGTGGGCGGCTGTGGGTGTCTCGTGGGTGCCCTGTGGGCTGGCTGCTCCACCAGGCCCGTGTGCTTTCTGGGATACCGAGGCTTCGCCTGGTGGGCGGCCGTGGGCGCCTTGTGGGCGCCTCGCGCTGCATGCGCTACACTGATTGCATTGCATAGCTCACGCCACTTTGCGCCTCATAGCTTACACCGCGAAGCGTGCACCACATAGCTTTCACCGCATAGCTTACACCCCATAGCTTACACCACATGTC